AGGCATCTAAAAAAGAAGGGAGGAGGGCAGTGCCTAAATAAAAAGGAGACTCTTCATGGGGACACATCCAGGAGTCACTAATTCCGGGTGGCCCTCAGCATCTAGGATCTTTGCCCCTTTAAGGATAATGGTCCTCAGCCCATCTCTCCAGTATGCATTTGGTGCCTGATTGCAGGTTGCCGGTTCCCTACTAGGTGGCGATCCAGTCCCTACTTATTTGCCTCTGGAGACAACAAGATCCCCGCAGTCGAGGCAGGTGTGTGACCATTTCTACTACTGTTCTGCTTGAAATCCCACTGCCTGGAGGCAAGAGCACCTATGGCAATGACGACAGGTGTTTGTGGCATACAGCTGACAGGGAAGGTGTGCCTGGGGCTCAAGTCAGGCACTGAAGGCACACTCGAGAGTCAGTCAGCCGTTTTACTTCATGTTCCGTTCTGCTTATGTGATGATTCTCTCAGTCATCAAGCATGTACGATGTGCCTCATGAAAGTAAAACCGGAGGAAGAATGTAACATTTCTTTCCTGCTCTGACCTCCTCCCCTCTGCATAATACCAAACTCCTCACTGTCTCAGCACAGCAGAGCGCCCACATGCTTTCTCAGGGCTTCTCCCAGGCTATGGCTTCTGTCTCATATCACACTCGAAAGCTCTTAGAAAGACCCCGGGGTGTCGAGTCAGGGAGCTAGGGTTTGAACCTCCCTGGTTCATCCTCTTTCCAGCTTAACCTCCATGAGCCATAGTTTCATTGCTAAGTGTGGGGAAATTCTGAGATCCATCATATAGGGTGGTTGTGAGAATAAAGTACATTAGATACGTGGGGCTGGAGAGATGGCTCAGCACTCAAGAGCATTGGATGCTTTTCCACAAGACCCACGTTTGATTCTTAGCACCTATATGGCAGCTCACAGCCATCTCTAGCTCCAATTTCAGAGGATCCAATGTCACCTTCTGGCTTCTGTGGACACTGTATATATGTGGTACACAGACATATGCAGGCCAAATACTTACACACACACACACACACACACACACACACACACACACACACATAAATATATATAATAAACAGTAAATGAAATCTCCAAAATAAATTTTAATACCGTTAGATATGTAAGCTGTTTATTATGGTTAATACCTGGCTGGGTATTGACGTCTGTTAGTAAATGTGTAGCCAGGTATGGTCACTGAACCTGTAGTTCCAGCCTTTGACAGACTGAGGCAAGAGGATCAACATGTTCTAGGCCAGCCTGGGAAATAAAGTGAAATCTTATCTCAAGGAAAAGAAAAACCTGTGAGTTGAACTGATGTGCTCTCCCCTAGAAAGCAAGAGATCTGGGTACTGGTTAAAGGAACACATGCGTGGATAACTCACTGCCCTTCACTTGATTAAATCACAGGGGTAAGATGATATAATGCCAAGCTTTGTGTCCCGTCATCTTCAAACGGAATCAGGGACCTGGCACCCAGAAACCATCTCCATCCACCCTCCAGGCAGACATCACTAGCTGATCAGAGCATTCCAAATTCCATGCTGGCCTTGGAATCCTCGCTCAAGGCTCCTTGGAGACATCACCAATCAAATCTGAATTGACAGTTGAGATTAAACTGACTTTTCGTTCCTGGCCAGTGCCCTGACTGGACAGGACCCAGCATAAGGAGGACAGGAAAAGACACAGTCAAGGTGAAGTATCTGTCTGTGGTGGGTCTGAGGGTGGGGGTACAAGGCAGCATCAGGAAGATGGGGCCAGGATCCAGTGGGGAGAGAACACTGGGGCACATAGTCACAACTGTCACGCTGTTTGTGCCACACCAGTCCCCTTTACAGGGAAAGCTTGGTCTGGCCCTGTGGAGAGTGCGGGAGGAGGGAAGGGTGTTGGCTGCACGCCAGACAACCTCTCCTCTACTTTGGAGGGGTTTGGATCACAGTATCGATTTTGCCAGGGACTGCAATTCCTCCACCTTCAGGGCAAGGAATTGGAGACACAGCTCTTTGCCATAAGGATTTGTAAACCCACCACGGTCACTCTGTTGTTCATGCCCCAGTGCCTTCTGTGGAGCCGGGGTAGCACCCATGCCCACTCCGTATGCCATCCTACTTATGAAAATTCCACTGCTTACGCCACCATCAGAAAGCAGACAAGGCCTGCTGGGTACGCACTCACTCCTACCAAACTCCATCCTGAAGTCTGCCCTGCTGAGACCCTGGGTAATGGAGGGGGCACGGCTGTGCCAGCTTGGCCTGGAGCCTCCCATCCTTAGACTCCATCTCTGAAGACTTGCTACACTAAGGGTATAGCAAGTGAGGTTAAATCCCAGGCTAGTAAGTGAGGTTAAAACCGCCCTGATTTGTACCAGGAGCAATCAAAGCATTTACCAAGGTCGGGACTCCTAAGTGACACCCTGCCTCTGTTGCTGTTGGAACTGACCACACAAGGCTGTAACTCCCCGTGATCACCTGCAGTCCCAGTCATTCTGTGGGCATAGTCACACTGGGGGTCGTCATTCACCATGAATCTGGGCAGCCACGGCAAGAAGTGCTCATCCCAGCAGCCAAAAGAGCTTACTTCCACCCAACGCCTCCCGTCCCAGGCCTGATTGTGTACGACACTTGCTGCAGGCTGGACTTTGATGGCCGTGCTGCTGTTACGTAAGGGGTTACATAAGTCACCGCGTGATGCGTGCCCCGTGTTAACAGAGCTTCTAGCCGGCTGCCGTACCCCAAGTGGCCTTTCCAAGTTCCTCAAGTCAGAGCAGATGGTTGCCTTCATCCCCAAAGCTGGGCAGATAAGAGTCCCTAGTTGACAGCTGTCAGACCACAGCATATTGGGATGTCACAGCCAAAGACAGGGACGCACTGACAGCAGTGATCTGTCATTCCCTGCCCATGGACAGTGTCGGGCAGCAAAGCTGGCATCTGAGAGAGAACAGTTAGCACCCATTCCCTTCCACTCTTAGGTCAAGCAGGATTTCACCTAGCTGAGACTGGGGGTTACGGGGCACAGAGTGGGCAGTGGGGGCTCCCTAGCATGCCGGGCTGAGGAGGGGAAGGTTAGGGCCCTGCTCTGTGGTTGGCTTAGTGCCTCAGCTCAGTTCACTTGCCCCTGGCAGAGCTTGGCAGAGACTCCCATGTGGGTGCAATCGGGAGTCTACTCCTGCCTTAAGTGTCATCTCGCTGCAGAAACAGTCATCCCGGTCCAGTCACGGCAGCTGCGTCTTTTGCCAAGGACAGACATCTCTGCTTCCACAATTCTAGAACAAACCGGCAGCCAAATCCCCACTGCCCTTACCTGGCCAGAGTTTGGTAGCAAACAAAAAAAAAAAAAAACTAGAAATTGTTTCCAGTCGACAAGATGCAGGCTGTTCAGTGAGATGGAGAGTTACTTCCGGAAACAAAAAGCTGCCCTGTGCCAAACCTTGGTAGGATAGAACACATTTAGAGCTCACAGAGTCTGGTTTGGGCCATGCTGGGGTTTCACTACTGAGCTATCCCTCTGTACCCCTAGCCTAGAAAGACATTTTAAGATTAGATTCCCACGGAGCCCACTAACCTAAGAAGCGTGCAGATAACACTTTTAACTCCTAACTCCTTTAGGCAAGGAGATGCCTAAAGGACAGAGGCACGTTGCCATCTTACAGGAAGCTGATCCACTGACAGCAATATTCTTGGGAGCATCCTTGTACCAGGGAATAGGGCCCACATGTCACAAGCTAGGTGCTGATTGACAAGGCAGAAGAGGGCTGGGTATGTGAGGCAATGCCCCAGCATGGTGGGAGCTAAAGAGTCTGAGGGGAGCTGGCAGGAGCCTAACGCGTGGGTCACAGGACCTTGGAGTCTATCTCCAGCAGAGTGTGCCAAGAGTTTGGAGCAGAAAGGATGCTGCCCACTCGTACCTGTCTTGGGGGCTGGGACATTGCTACAGAATTTCCCCTTCTAAACCCTGGGGATTAAAATAGCAATGACACAGCCCTCAGTCACGCAGAGGTGACTGCCAAGGACACTGAGCGTGTGACGGCTGCCACTCCAGGGGTCACAGCCCCACATACCCCTGTCTGTGGCACCCGGCTCGGCTCAGAGAACATGTGCTAGCTCCAGGTGTCGGAATTGCAGCTCATTAGCCCTGAGCCATCTCTAGAGGAGGGACCCGTGCCCCATCCCCACAGCAGCAGCCTCTGGGTACCACTTCTGAGTGAGGGCCTGTGGCCATCTCTGTCTGCCATTTAGACTGTGGTATGAAGGTGTGGGCCAGGGTGCTGACTGGAGGACAGGAGAAGAAGGAGGCAAAATAGACAGGGAAACAGAGGAGGGGAGGAGAAGAGGTGGGTGGGATCCACTCAACAAGTGGGCACGGAGCCCCTGCCCGTGAGCGCTTCCCAAGCAACTTTGTTCACCATGTGGCTGTCGGCCTCACCTTCTCTCTGGGCAGTTGGTGGGCAGGGCCAAGGCAGCCTGGGCTTCCTTGCTTGCTCCAACTGAGCGGCCCTGCTTGCAGCCCTGCCGGCGTTGGCACGGTGACAGTAGCCAAGTGTGCAAACTTGTGCCATTGTCCCTGGGCCAGGGGGAGCCATGGAGACTAGCTAATATGACACAGGAAAATGTTTGCTGATGGCAATTCTATGGGCTTTGTCCACCTCTTTCTCCATCATGACGACTCGATTTAAGTCCCTAACTGTTTGACTACAAATGCAAGGGGACCGTGCAACGCCACCCTTTTGTCCAGCCGCACTGAATGGGCAATTCAGGCTTTGTGCGGCTCAATTGAGGAAGCAGACATAAAGACAAGATTCCTGAGAGCCCCGGCTCCCTTCCCATGGATATCCCAGCACCCCTCAGCTAGCTTGTCCAGGCTACCTTTCCCCACATCAGTGTACCTCTCGACCCAGGGGACCCTTCAGGAAGAGTGGGGAAAGAGGCTAGAGACACGAGGACAGACAGACAGAGTCAGAGAGCACACGCTCAACACTCAAGGGCAGAGGGAAAGCAGCCCACGCCAGCTTACCCCATCCGATTGTCTGTCTGCACTGGAGCATGGCAGCTGGAGGCCTGGAGACTCTGGGGAAGGTTGGGTGCCTGTCTCCACTGTATCCAGCCCTCCTTGATCCTGGACATTTTGCACACACACCCCCTACTCCCTCAAGAAACCAGGGTACCGAGGTCAAGGGGAGGGGGTGTGGTGGCCGAGGAAAGTGGGGCTGAAGGGTAGAAATTTACCGGGAAATGATTGCATTTGGGAGCTGTCTTTTTTTGTGATGGTCCCCATGGTGACAATTTGTGACGGCAAAGAATGTGGGACCGGGGCTCCGCCGCCTGATTGGGATGCTTTGTATCTGGAGAGGCGCTCCTGATTGGCCTGAGGGCCCCCCAGCTCCGGACTTGTCCTCCATTCAGCCCACTCAAGGGCTGCACAACTGCTTCTCACCCTGCACGGAGCTCGCTGCACGCCAGCTCGCCGGGCTTGCCTGGGTCTACGGTGGGGAACCTGCCGGCCACGTTGGCGGGGGTCCCAGGCCGCACCTTCGGTTAGTGTGGAGTCCCAAGTGGTCTGACAAAGCTGGGTGGAGGGTGTGAGCGGGCTAGGGCCTTGGGGGAGGGGCACAGTGCTGTGGGTGGTGGCCGAGGAGGCATGAAATTGCTGCAGATGGTTCTACAGGGGAGTTCCTGCTGCCGGCAGCCTGAGATGAGCCTTGAAGGCAGGTCTAGATTAAGTGCTAGACAGGGATCCTGCCTGGCCCTGTGTGAGAGTTGGGGGTGGAGCGTGGGGACTGCAGAGGGGGGCGGGGTGGTGGGAGGGGGAGGCCACCACCACGGAGGGGGAAGGGGGCTTGGCCTTCTGTAGAGCATTTCTTTGGCTTTGAAAATAAAAACTTGAATGGCGAGTCGTGCCTGCTGGGCTCACAGTATGTGGGAGACGCGACCAGCTGGAAATGTAGCCCCAGCAATGCCACTTGTAGCTAGATGGTTTTGAGCAAGGTGATTCTTTTTGCTGAGCGTCAATTTCCAGGAGGGGGCAACAGACCCTAAAAGACTGAATGAAATAGCCGGCACCTGTCTCGTTTAGTCAAGGGATGCTGAATGACTTACCAGGTGTCCCATTGTGGATCCTGGTTGGGACAGAAGGGTGCGGGGGGGGGGGGGGGGGACCCGGGGGGGGGGCTTTTTGCATTCAGTCCTGGTGGCCCTGGGAAGGTGTAACTGCCCTGGAGAAACTCCAGCTACCTTTTGTGCTCCCCAGGTCTGCCCTGTGCTCTCTTTGGAGCTGCCAGCCCCCAGCAGAGCCTGCACTCTTCATGGAAAGCCCCGCGCAGTTCCCGTGGTGATGGCAGCTGACAGTGATGTGAAGATGCTGCTGAATTTCGTCAACCTGGCGTCCAGTGACATCAAGGCGGCCCTGGACAAGTCGGCCCCCTGCCGCCGTTCTGTGGACCATCGCAAATACCTGCAGAAGCAACTCAAGCGCTTCTCTCAGAAGTATTCGAGGTTCCCTAGTGGCCTGCCTGGCAGGGTGACAGAGCCTCACCTGCCCAGAGGGCCGGAAGAGAGGCCTGGGCAGCTGCCCCTCCACCCGTGTCCCGAATCCAGCCCTGGCGAGGGTGGGAGCTGCAAGGAGAAGGCCCTGGGGACCCCCTTCAGGGAGGAGTGCCTTTCTAAGGAGCAGAGCTTTGGGGGGCTAAACCCAGAGGCTGCTAGACCTGGCCAGGTGCCCATGAGGAAGAGACAACTGCCTGCTTCATTCTGGGAGGAACCAAGGCCCACCCTTAGCTACCCAATGGGGCTGGAGGTGGGCCTAACCCCCAGGGAGGCATCTCTGTATGAGAATAAGAAAAGTTGCAAGGGTCTTGAGTCCCTGGGGCCTGAGACTGCTCCACTGCCCTTGTCCCCAAGGGTTCTAGCTGACACGGAGCCACTCAAGATGTCTGGGGTCTCTTTGGTAGGCAGCCTTGATGGCTGGAGCTACTGCCCATTCCAGTACCATGGACAGCCCATCTTCCCCAGCCTTCCAGGGGTCCTGCCCCAAGGTCCAGTACCCAGTCTGGGCTTGTGGAGGAAAAGCCCAGCCTCACCAGTGGAGCTAGCCCACTTCTGCAAGGATGTGGACAATCCAGGGCCCAAGGTGTACAGACCTGTGGTTCTGAAGCCTATTCCCACTAAACCAGCCATGCCTCCACCCCTCTTCAATGTCTTCAGCTACCTCTAGCTGGATGGCCTTAGCCCCCTTTGTTGGCCTGCAGGATGGGGTCTCTGATAAGCTCTCCAAGTGAGAGGAGAGCAGGGCAGGGGTCTATCTGGGCTGCTTCAGGGAGGGGGCTCCTCAGCCAGGCATCTATTTGACTCTTGCAGTCTATGGGACCAGGCACAGGAGCCCTTCCCTAGAGACACGTCTCCCTATCTCTGTGGAGACCCTGGGCAAAGGGACCCTAGTCTGGCAGCTGCCCATTACACACCTGTTCAGCTGCCATCTGCTGGGAGTTGGGGGCATTCTCACTTGTTCTTTTTGTTCTTTGTAAATATTGAGAAAGTTAAAAAAAATAAAGATTTTTTTTGCAGTTTCTACCTCTTGGGTGTCATGAAGTGGGTTAGTTTCCAGATGCAGGGTCGATATAGAAGATGGCTACAGGGAGGGGTGGCTTGCAGCCTCTGAGATATCTGTCGATGGGTGCTAAAGGCCATGGCTCAATTCATAGGAAGCAGGTGGGAAGGGATGGGGAAAGACATTGGGAAAGGATGCTTGGTCCAGACATCTGAAGAAGTATGCAAAGTCTGGATCCCGTGGTTCATAATACTCTGTCTTAGGGAGGTAGAGCTATAATTTTGGTGTGCCTACACCTTGGGCTGTGCCAGAGCAGCTATGCAAAATCCTGGTCAGAGATAAAATCAGGACAATGAGATTTTAGTTTCTCGTGATCAAAACAGGCAGTTTGACTAACCTGTCCCTTTTGAGCATGAACATGGTTATATATCCACAGTGAACCAAACCAAAGCAAAACCCAAACCCAAGCCCTAAAGCCACAGCCTCTAACTAACTCCCATCCCAGTTTTCTTCGGTTTGCTCTCAGCCATGTATCAAAGAAATGTGGAGACCTCTGCCTGTGGCTGGATAGAAGTGTATGTTGGGGGCAAAGACCAGGGATTCTCCTGATAGTTCCCAGACAGCAAACTGCTGAGCTAGGTGGCGTCCTGAGTAGCATTGGCCTAGGGACACTCTGGTGTGGCTGGGCTACACAGTGTATCATCAAACCCGGATCTTTGCATCCAAGCCTGGTGCTGGGCCAGCCTCTGTTCCCCACATAGGGGATTCCAAGAGGTGTGCCGATCCCTTCTGCTATCTCCTTCATGACCTGCCTCTGAGCAAGCCCTTAGTTAACTGCACATCCAGGACTCAAGGCTGAACATGGCCCTTTGGTCCTAGCCTACTCCCCCAACCCCGCAAGTCCCACCAGGGAGTTCACCAGAAGTGCGATTGGCCAGGGAAAGATGGGCAGTATTCCAGGATTCTGGGACTTTCTGTCCAAAGGCATCAGAAGACTTCAGTATCACGGATACTAGAATGACACAGAGTTGTCCTAAGTCATTTCCTGGCATGTGGAAGGGGAAGGTCTTTAGCCTATGCTCCATCTTAAAGAACACAGAGGGACCAGGAGCACGTGTGTGCCCTCTCTTACCCAAAAGCACCATCACCAAGAACCCCCCTGGACCCACGCAATGGTTCTCAGCAACCTTGAGACTGTTCAGCAGGGGCCTCAAAGCTCCGGTCCTGTCACCTACTGATCAAATTACTTGTCTACGCTGAAATCTCCTCACCCAAAAAGTGAGATCGGACGTAGCCCGGCCACACGGCTGTTGTTTACATGGAAGTCTGATTTCTGTTATTACATGAAGTTGTCTCCTACACTTAGACACCCGGAGGTCCTTCCAGGCTGGCAGAGTAGAAGCAGTGAGCACCTTGGACACCCTACCTCCCCACCACCCTCCTCCTAGAGCAGTAGCACCCCTCGAGCCATACATTCTCAGGGACCACTGAGCCCCACCCTGACTGGTGTAGCCCTGGTCCTACACCAGCCTTTTCTGCCGGGGCTCAGCTTCCCCAGTGGGACCTGTAGATCCATTCCTTCAAAAACCAAAAGGCTTCATTTAAAAGCAGAAACAGGAACTGGAGAGATGGTTCAGTAGTTGAGAGCACCTGGTTTGATTTCCAGCATCCATATCAGAAGGCTTAGAGCTGTCTATAATCCGACACCAGGGCACCTGACACCCATGGGTTCCATGGGAAGCTACACACATGATGCACATAAACTCATACAGCTTTACACACATAAATAAATAAATAAATCTTTAAGAAATCAAAGCAGAAACCTTTATTGGGACATGACCCACCCAACAGGGACTTAAGGCACCAGTCCCATTCATACGGGAAGCAGCTGCAGGGAGCACACTGCACATCTGGGAGACTTGAAATTGGAGAGGAAAAAGCAGCCTTGGTGGCAGCAGCAGATGTACCCCCAACAAAAGAGCAAGGTGGGAGCTGAGAATGTAGCTCAGGTAGATAGAGAGCTTGGCTACCATGCACAAAGTCCTGGTGTTGGATCCATCATTGCAAAATAAATAAGTAGCAGGGAGGGAGGAGAACAAAGGAAGAGCAATATCAAGTCGTGTTGGTGTGGCTCTGAGCAAAACCCGAAGCCATTACCGGGGTTCCCGTTTGCTCAGTCTCCTGCTCCTACCACTAGGGCGAGCATTCTCATGCTCATGCATTGTAACTGGGGCTAGACTTCCAAAAGGCTGTTTGTGATACTGTGTGTCATCTCTAAGGCAGGCACCCTGGCTGGGTTTGGTGGCGCAATGAAGTCCAGAGTGGTCCCCAAGCACTAACTCATCATCACTGGCCCACAAGGCCAGGCCTCAGGCCAGATTTAATATTCGGGAGTTGGAACACAATTAGCAGCTTCCCCTGTACCTTTGAGGCTAAGCATCCCCAGGAGAGAGGATGCAAGGTTCCCTCTGGACTTGATCCAGTGAAACATCACGGGATGCAACCAAACACAAAATCAGAACCAACCCCACAGGGATTTGTCCTGTGTGCTCAGGCAAGTGCCTTCCCCTTCCAACCTTTATCTCATCATGACCTTAAGGGTATAGACGAGATGCTGCTTAGCCCCCCAGAGCCCAAGAGGCTTTTCCCCTTCTTGCAGACCCTAGAATCTACTAATGAATACCAGGGATGCCAGAAGCAGCAAGGCCATCAGGAGCCC